TACATCTCTCTCTCTCTCTCTCTCTCTCTCTCTCTCATATTCCCTCCCTTTTTAGGGTTCTTGACAACCCTCTCTCTCGTTTCAAATTTCCTAATCTCGGCCTCTATATACACCCGGAGTTTCTGTTTGATTTTAGAGTTATTATCGGTTTCGATTTCGTGCTTCAAGTTTAGGGGTTTTGCCATTTCATTTTGGATTATTTCGATTCGTCAATGAAGGTTTCGCATTGAGAAAGGATTTATTTATTTTTGCTTCGGTTACTAGTACTTTTTTGAAGATTTTAGGCTGGAATTAGGGTTTAAAGCGCAGGTTTGCACTTTTAAACTTCAATTTCTTCGATATAAATGTTAATGTGTAATCAATTTATCCCTTTTGTAAGGCATTTGCTTCGGTTTTTCTCCCGATTCATAGCAAGTTGCAGGGTTTTTGGTATTGTGAAATGAGAAACAGAGGACGTTTATCCCATTTTTATCGATCAAAATAGAGCGCAGGGCTGGTTATCTTGAATTCTTTTACAGCTCTGCTATTTCGGACCAATTTAATAGTTTCTGTTTGCAATTCGCTTCAGTTTCTCGTCAGTTTCATACCAATTTACTCTGTTTTGTTCTTGGAGGAATTAGGGAAACAGACATACATTCACTTCCCATACGTGTTCTTCAGTTAATTGTTGACCATTTTCACAGTTTGAGTTTGATTTTCCCTCAGTTTTTCATCTCCGAATTTCTCATTTGCAGGTAGTTCTCTTACAAAATCTACAAGTTTCAAGTATCCCCCTTGCATCCTAAACTAAAGGTTTGCTCCACTCTCCCTTCCGCCTCTACATTTCCTCTGTTTTTCTGGAAAACATAAGAAGGCAAAACTGGTTTTACTTTGCAACCGACACATTTCCCTTCTACAAATTTATGTATTTTACTACAAAACTGAATGCAATTTGAAAACAAGGGTAACATTTCTTCCATTTTTTAAGTCTACGAAGGTAGAATCTTAGTACCTTCAAGCTAAATTTGGTTATTTCATTTTGTTTTTTTTTCACAACTCTTTGCTTGCTAAAATGCGCCAGGTAAAACCAATGTGAGCTGTCTCACCATTGTTATTCATCACTGGCACGTTAGCACGATAAAAAGGTCATTCGCTTTTTGAAACATCACACTTGATTCTCATTACAAACAAACCTTTGTTTTTAACATAATTCAGAAGAACATTACATTATGTTAACTTCTAACAATTTCGGATAAAAGTTCCATATTTGCAATTGGTCTTTTCTGAATTTAAAATCACCATGTTGTTCAAGTGTTGTATTTTAGTGTTTCTCTTTGCAAGAATCGTCACATGTTTGCAAAGAAGAACCAATTATATGTAAAATGATTTGGAACATTTACTCATTGTATTTTATCTTGCTTTCAGCTTTCGAACCCAGAAGTTGAAAACGGAAATGGCGGGACAAACTTTCACCGAGGAGATAGATTGTGGAAGCTTCTTCGATCATATTGATGATTTCATCGAATTTCCTCCTGTTACCGACACCACGCTCAATTCTGTCAATTGTGAAAGTTTTTCCAACATTTGGACCAACAATTCCGACGAGTTGCAGGTCTCCGACCCCATCTTTTCAGATAGCAATTGTGCCTCCGCCCTGTCTGCAGAGCTCGCCGTTCCGGTGAGTAATCATTTGCTTGATAAAATCACTTGGAATTGAAATCAAACAATGATGTCATTTGATCGGAATATAGTGTCATCGGTGTCTGGTTCAAGCATAACATTAGTTTCTTTTTCCCTCTTCACCAAGAATGAACACAAGATAAAAAGTTTGGATTTTTTTGTTTTTTATTGGATTATTTTATCATTTATTGTTATTGAAATTCAAAAATTTGGAATTCACAAAAATAGTCGGTGGCAATTATTTCTCGAATTTGTTACCAGTATGGTTTCTTGAATTTATCAACATATACTTTGAAATCAGAGGAATTTTATCGTACAATTCAAGAATAAATTGAGTCCCCCAATTTAAAAAAATCAAAATTCAAATTTGTTATTTAGTAATCATTATATGATATTTCTCTGAATTATTTATTTTATTCCATTATTCAATATTTTTACTAAAACATGCAATCAAATAAAATTTGCTTTGTTTTTGCGAGGGAGGGAGTGTTTAGTCTTTTGGTCGACCCCATCATTAATAATTGTTGCTTTCAAAACCCGCATCCATTGTTTAAAGAACACGGTTATTTAATAATTACAGAAGAAGTCATGAAGAGTTTTTAGACCCATTTAATTCTTGGGTTATTTATAATTTTGTATATTGTAATGGGTTTTAATCATTTTTGGTTAAAAACCAACCCATTGGATATATGCTATAAATATTTGTATACTATGCAATAAAGTTTGTATCTTGATACTTGACCATGAAATCTTGATCATCATTGTACTTATATGCCCCTATGTGTAATCTCAGTATGAGGATATCGTTCAGCTCGAATGGCTTTCGAACTTTGTGGAAGACTCGTTTTCTGGCGGTGGAATGACAATAAACAAAGAGAATGTTTCGGTGAAAAAGGAGCCATTGGTGGTGGCAAACTACCCGTTCCAGATGTCGAGTCCTGTGTCGGTTCTTGAGAGCAGTAGCAGCAGTTCCAGCTCTTCCTCCTGCTCAGGCAGTGGCAAGTTGATTCCGCTTAGTCCAACTCATCGTGGGCCGCAGCGGGCTCGAAGCAAGCGTCCTCGGCCACCAGCCTTCAACCCTCGTGCCGCCATCAAGCTCCTTTCCACTTCGAACCTCGTACCAGTTCCAATTCCCATGGAATCCGAGAACCCTCTTGAGTCTCATAGTGGCGGCCCTGATCAGAAGAAGAGAAAGAAGAAGCCAAAGAAACCAGATGCCCTATTCAACCCAGAAGACAAAACCCAGAACCAGAGCCAGAACCCGGGAGGGCAAGGAGTTAGAAAGTGTATGCATTGTGAAATTACGAAAACGCCCCAGTGGCGTGCGGGACCTATGGGTCCAAAAACACTGTGCAACGCTTGTGGTGTGCGTTACAAATCCGGGCGGCTGTTTCCGGAATACCGGCCTGCTGCAAGTCCGACATTTGTGCCTTCTTTGCATTCAAACTCCCACAAGAAGGTGGTGGAGATGAGAAACAAGTGTATGCCGGATGAGGTTCCGGAGGCAGAGCTGATCCCGAACATGAACCCACCGATGGATTATATGTGATGAAGAACTTAATGAAGCATGTTAGTCGTTCGTTGTCGGTCTATTTACTACTGGTTTTTAGCATAATTAGTTTGTTTAATTGGTTGATTGTACAGCTGGTATGAAGGGAAGGAAGGGGGTGGAGCTTATATATATATATATATAGATGTTTACCATAAAGAAAGTTAGATGAAGGAATGAAGTTGAGAGAGAGAGATTAGGGTTCATGAGATTGTAGAAGAATTTAGATGAAGAGATGTTCTCTTTTGTTTGTTTTCTATGCTTTTTATGGGAATTCTTTTTGTAGTTCATATCCATATATGTTTTGTAGACATGCTCTACTTTTGATTCATATTGAGATGGAGACCTCCTTTTCCTTGGTTTTTTCTGGTGGATGTGGTTCGCCTCCATCCCGCCAGGCCCGTTCCTGATATTTTATGGGCCCTGGACGAACGTAAAAATAGGGCCCACTGTAAGAAACAAGACTTAGCAACGACTTTTGGCATCGCTAAAAGTCTATTGATCATCAGAAAGAGTATATACCAACATGTCGTTATTATAACTTATGGTGGAAACATGTCATCGCTAAAAGGCGCATCGTCAAAGCTCACCTTTCTTGTAGTGACTCTTGGTAAGTACGAAAAAAATTCAATAAATATCTTTCATTAGTATAAAATTGATTACAATAAATGCTAATAATTTACTGAGGAAAAAATCTTATTTATCTTATTATAGATATATAAGAGAGTACTTAATTTTTTTTTATTAACCTGGATATCAACCCGCTATATGAGCCAACTAATCCCAGGGCAACCACCTGCTTTGCAGATAGGCCGGAGTCACCGCATTTGAACTTCCATGGCCACAAAGGGATTTTTGTTCCTTATTGGATTTGAACCTGGGACCTCCAGGCACTTGTGACCTTTGGAGCGAAGCTCAAACCAATCAGGCACCACCCTTGTGATTACTTAAATTTACGTACTTTTTATTAGATAATTTGAAACCAAGAGTATAAAAACTATGGTTGATAAAAAAAAAAGTAAGAATTTTTTTAGTTCATAACAAGAAATATGTGTTATTTTGATATAAAAAGAGAATTCGTGTGAATGAACTAATCGTGAGGGTCAATGAAAGATCAATAATAAAGAAGATTATCAAGGTTTTCTAGACAAGTAGACAAATGAGGATCAATAAGAATATGAAAGGAAAGATGATTCATTGAAATCTAATAAGAATAAATAATGAATTAAACATATAATATGCAAGCTCAACAAATGATTGTTTGAGTACTTAAATATAATCTTGTAGTGCGGTGGAATCCCAATGAAAGATATATAAGTCAAACAATTGATGAAAATATATATATTTAAATTTTATTTTCCTTCTTTTTTTGCTCAACTAAAATAAAATGTTAAGATTAAAAGTTTAAGGAACATGACATATATAAGAGACATTACTAAATACATCTAATAGAAAAAAATTATTGAATAATCACAAAACTATGAAACACGTCATAAATTATAAGAACAATAGATTGATTGTCAAACAATAGTAAAATATTTTATGTAAAAGCAAAAATAGATAATAATAGTTAACAATAACAATTAGAACAACATAACCAAATAGCAATACAATAGAAGCAGAAATTGATAAAAATATCCAACAAAAATATATAACAATAACAAGCACATGATCTTAACGTTGAATTGTTGAAGTATGAAAACAGTCAAGCATATAGAGATAACAATAACCAATATCATTGGACCTTGTTGAAGATAAAAAAAAAAAAATAGAGGGACAATAAACAATAGCATATAATGAATGACCAATTAAATTTTTTTATTTTCTTCTCCAATATAATTAGTTGATATATTTTTGGGCCCTTATTATGTACTAAATTTTTTTGCTTCTTATTATATGTTACAACTTTTTTGGGTTTCTTTATTTCATTAAATTCTTTTAGACTATTATTGTATTTTTTAAGGAAAAATTTGGGCCCCTGATAATTTTGGGCCCTGGGCGTGCGCCCGTGCCGCCCTCCCCCAGGGACGGCCATGCACCCGAGTGCGTTTTTGTCTTGCGTTTTTAGTATTTTTCTTGATTTGGAGGGGTCTCCCCCCTCCATGTCAAAACAATTGATGGATTCATTTCTTACAATTACTAAAATCATACCATTTCTCTCTCTCTCTCTCTCTCTTCGCTCTTTCTCTCCCCTCTTTTCCTCCTTCCCTTTCTTCTTTCTCCCCTTCTCCCTCTTTTCTCTTTTCTGTTCTTTCTTCTTTTTCTGTCTTCCTCCTTCTTTCCCCTCAGGATGCCTTGGATATTCTGGTGGTTGAGGTTTGCCTCCTACCCGAGCGCTTCATTGTCTTCTTTTAGTATTTAGTGTTTTGCCTTGATCTGGAGGGGTCTCCCCCCTCCCTATAAAAAAATCATACCATTAACTTACTTCTCAAATCAACTCACATTTCAATCGTTTTATCCCGAGATTATTATCTTCCAACATCTGTGGTCATCGAAATTCATCCTTCGTTGAATTATTCTTTGGAAAAATTGCTCTCGAGTACGATTGTAGTTCGTTTGTCTTGGTTTTGTTTTTCATTGATCAACATCATGATTATTGACATGACAAGATGTTACAACACCATCTATGGTAATGATTTACTTTTTAGTTTTTACGTTTCTTTTGTTTTGTTGACTTCTCTATCATCATCTTCCTTCTACTTTAGTTCTCTTCTTAGTGATATGATTTCATCTATTGAAGACTCGATATGCTTCATAACCAGTAGAATAACAAAGAAATACGATTCCGTCACTCTTGACATTGGTTTCTTTCGGTTCTACCATTTATAAGGTGTTTTCTTAGATGAACTCTACTGACGGTGTAACATTCTATGTTCAGTATATTTGCCTAGAATTTGTACCAACAAGTCTTGACAAAATTGTAGTTATATCACAAAATTGTTTTGAGTTGTGTCAAGTTCTATTCCATGATGGGTAGGAATTCCAGTCACTTTCTTGTTTTTTTACGCATTGACCTTTTTAAACTATAAAAGTATCATATTTTTCTTTGAAAAATTCTACTTTTCTGAAATGAGTATCATATTAATAAAAGCAAAAACTGTATTGCTTTCAATGCATTGGACCCTTGGTCCATATATAGTTACTACAAATGCACATCTTGGATCGGGACGTTCGATTGGCCTGGACCAACTCGTTTAGGACGATTTATAAGAAGGACCAGGCATAGGCCTAGGTCCAAGACCGACTCAATTGACCAATCAAGCGTCCTTTCCGAGATAAAGATCAGTTATAGACAAGTGAAGATAAGATAGAACTATAATTAAAGGACTGATTTGAATTGGTTTTGGACCATTTTTTTTACTGAAATAGATCATTCAATAACCGCCAACAACTACTTTTTGGATATAATTGCTAGCTTTGATTTAGTTTTTTTATTATGTGTGAAATGGCTACCGCTCTAAGTTCTGACCTTTAGATGACAAACTTATCACGGTACGGATATAAAATACTTTTCAACCAAATACAAACTGGTGCATCGTACCACCTTAAAATGTAATGAAAACGAGAAACAGAAAATCTGTTAGGTGCCTAGAGTTATTAACTAGACCTAAAACATTACTTTAAACTTCACTTATTATCTCGATGTGAAGAAAAGAAACTTCATGTGTCAAAACTTTTTAGGGTACTAATTCCTTCGTGTTTATCTCATCATGAGATTTTATAAACAGAAGTTTATGTTAGTATATGTACCCTTACCATTGTCCTATTTGATCTCATGTGTTAGGGCAACCTAAGGGGTAAGGGTTGCTCAACTCACATTCTACCTCTAGAAGCAACAAATATGGAATCACCTTTCTTTATATCGTTACCCGCATTTAGGTTACGTTTTCAAAAACATTTTTCGCACTCAAACACCAATAATGTTGGGGTAAAAAATAAAGGAGAGAAGACCAACACTTTGATTTAGGGCTGTTGGTCTCAACCATCAGATTTGACGATAATACAAATAACATCAGGTTTGATACTTAGAAGAAAAATCTCAATCCATACTATGTGATTATTATATCTGAAGTAGAACATTCATCAGATATAACAAATAGCACTAACATCCGAATATGGTTTTACAAAAGGATTTATTAGTACAAAGTTACGTATTCAGTCGCTTTCGAATTTATATCTTAGATAGTATTTTGGGATCAAATATCAAATTTGATATTTCATTATCCGATTGCAAGAATTTGATTGGTCCATTAACATGATCATTCAATCTTGATTCTCATAAACCCAGATATACTCTAAGTTATATGTATCATCCAAATCTTCATACTTCATAAATAGTCTAAGCTAGAATCTGATCTATACCTTATATTTCAAAAAAGATAGATAGGATTTTTCTCTGTAAAAGTGTTGTAACTATCTGTATTGATCAAAGAACAAAAAACATTCAACAAGATCGAAGACTAGTTGAAGTAATGTCAAGATCATCACCGAAGTGGATTGGATTGCCATCCAGCCGAAAGAAGATCAATACAAGATAAATTCAAAAGTAGTCTGACAAATACTACTTCTGGCAAGCCGAAATTGGAGTGCAAACTTATCCAACAAGTTTGGCTCACTAACTCTACCGACTCTCATCCTGTTATAGGAACATGTTTGGCATATCAGACAAAGAAGTTCTAAAATACTATTATAATAGTACCATACTTTATTTATTTTCCTTTTGCATGCAGAAGGATGGATTGGGTTAATAAGTCTCTACATCAACTTCAAAGGTTGAAATGAAGAGTACGAGCATGTATGAATCAACAAATCAGATAAATACATGCGTTAAAGTCGGACACCAACATTTAATGCAATGATGGCTATAAAAGGTCATCCTTATCATTTTTTGCAACTCACTCGTTTTGGAAGAAATTTCAGGTAAAATCAAGTTCACCCATCTAAAGGACTATCTTAATCTGTTAGGTCTGAAAGAGTACATTCTTCTCTCATTCTTTCAGTTGTAAGTAAATTTTTCACCAGTCAAATTGTTTAGGATCATGTTTTACCTTCATAGCTTCTGCAACAAATTTGTAATTCCTTGTTTTCAATAAACATACATGATTAAAAAGTGAAAATTTTATTATGTTTGTATCTAACCCCCCTACAAACATATCTTGTGTGAGTTATTACATTCCAAGGCCAAAAGTGGTATCAGAGCGGTTTATTGAAATCCATAAACAAGATTCAAAATGACTTCCACAACCAATGACAATGGCTCCCTATAGAAACCACCTCATTTTCAAAAGGATAACTTCTCTCTGTGGAAAAATTGCATGACTCTCTTTCTTG